GGCTGCATTAAAAAGGGCATCACCAGCAGAGACAAAGTCGTCATCATCCCTCTCTACTCGGCACTGGTCAAACCACACCTTGAGCACTGTGTCCAGTTTTGGTCCCCGCTATGCAAAAAAGATGCGAACAGGTTGGAAGGGTCCAGAGAAGGGTCACGAGGAGGCTCAGAGGACTGGAAGAGCTGAGAAAACTGGGCCTGTTCAGCCTTGGGAAGGGAAGGCTTAGGGGGGACCTTATCACCAGGTACCAGTACATAAGGGGTGGCACCAAGAAGATGGAGACTCCCTTTTCACAAGGAGTCACATGGAGAAGATGAGGGGTAATGGACACAAGTTGTGTCTGGGGAGATCCCGATTGAACTCCAGGAGAAATTTTTTTACAATGAGATCAATCAGAAATTGGAATAATCTCCAGGGGAAGTGGTGAATTCCCCTACCTTGGGCAGTTTGAAGAGTCAGCTTGACAGGGTGCTGACTCATCTCATTTAAATGGTACTTTTACCTCGAGAGGTTGGACTGGAGGATCCTTGTGGTCCCTACCAACCTGGCATTCTATAATCCTATGATTCTATGATAGAAACCAGGAATTAAACCCTCAATAAAAGCCCTAACCATCCCCAGCCCCCACACCATAGCTGTTAATTCCCCATTCACTCATCATGTGCAAAGCCAAGAAAGGAATGAGTAATTCCTTTTTTGCGTTTGTTGTCACCATTTCATTGGAAGTGACACGATGGCTGCTCCACTGCAGCCACATTAGTGTCACTGCATCGGACCCGTCCTTGTTAAACGGGGGTACATGAGCCCCTCAGCGCTGTCAGGTGCAGCACACGCAGCCTCGCAATGCACCTGAAACACCCCAGCTGGATTTTAGGCATTTTCTTCTTCTTTGTGCAAAGCAAAACATTGCACAGTGACTTACTTCTGGTGTAAAAGAAGGATCTTTTGCACCTGGAAAGCTACATGCTAATTCCATGCTTTATTCTATCTCTTTCTTGCAAAAGGCTTTCAAAATCATATTCTATTGTACAGTACATAACGTTATTATTCTGTCCTTATTGTCCTAAAAGCAGAAGCTTACAGGCTGGAGCAAAATCTTCTTTTGACTCTGCTGTGCCGGGCAAAAGGTTAGGGAGATAAGCAGCTCTCAAAGAGCTGGTAATGCCGGTACGAGGCAGAAATACTAAATCATCTGAAGCAGCGTTGTTTCCGTTTCCCTTCTCCATGAGGTATTTCAGCTTGCATGGGCTGTGTGTGAAAACCACAGGGTTTTGCACCATGGGCAGGAAATGTCCCTTGATCGTTCAGAGTGACCAGAGCAAGCAGAGTCCTCTTTCTGGAGAGATGCTGGACTCGACACTGCCCCAAAAAAAGTCTTTTACTGGGAGCCTTACACAGAAAAAGGCTGCTGGACAAGAGGAGCCTCCTAAAAGCTGCTTCACCATCCACACCAAGTCATCCTGACTGTGGCATCTTCCCATGTCCCTGTTCCGTAGGATTTCCAGCTTTTTGACCCCCATTCCCCGTTTGCAGGGCTCTGAGCGCTGCACACACAGACGGGAACACCAGCGATGCTCCCAGGGACTGTTTTTGGAGCAAGTCACTCGATGAGCTGTGCAGCTTCTTATTTATTGCTGTCTCCAGCGGGGAGCTGAGCAGCGTCCAGACACCTCCACCGCTCCAGCCACAACTGCAGGCAGTGACCTCCACTTGACAGCGCTTCCGTCCTGACAGAAAAACAGCACATTATGCTGTCAAGGCTAATCGCTGTTAATTAGGGCGAGAGACGTGTGACCCCTTCTATAGCCAAAGAGCACTGAAGTCGCAGCACAAATAAAATAACATTGAAATTCTGCATTCGCAGCCTTTTCCAGCCTAAAGAGTGACCACTAAAAAGTAATTTTCTATTTTGTTTGGGTTTTTATGTTTGTTTATTTGTTTTTCCTGGTTTGTCTGTTTAAGGCTTTACTTGCACTTTACATTATTCCTACCATGGGTAGGTTTCAGTGTTCACAGCATTTCCTTGGTAGGAAACGGGGCTTAGAAGGGACACTAGGGGAAGGAAAGGGGACAAGGAACCAATTGCCATTTCATAAATGTGGAAATGGGTACAGAAAGCTGAAATGATTTACCAGAGGTCACATTTAAGTCTACTGAATGTGCAGCCTCCCATCGGTTTATTATGGGCTCAGCATCCCATTAGACCCTCTGCATGTTAATCACTACCTAACTCCTCTATCTTCTTGTTGCTCTAATGAGGTTATTGATGAATTACTTGAAATGCACTTTTTGTAAAAGAAATGGTTTAGGTGACAAGTTACCTTTTACTAAAGAAATTAACGGGCAAGTTTAGTTCTTTCATTCCAGTCTGAGGAAAAGAAGTTTTGGGTTTAAAACATCCAATTAGCACCAGCCGAAATCTGATATTTGAGATTATTTGGCACTGTACCTGTTATAAATATGCCATGTGGCCATTAGTGCCTTGTGGTACCATTCAGGACAAAAATAGCCACTCCAGCAATTAATACTGCAGTAACGGCATAGGTCAGAATGGGAGGAGAACAATTGCAATTTTAGGGGTGCATCCCAAACCCTGCGGTAGGTGCGGGACTCGGTGCTGCGAGTGCGAGCTCTGGTTCCTGCGCACCCTGTCCCGGCCACTGCACAGCTCCTCATTGCAGACGCTCCTCATGGCTTTACAGCCGCATTTCTACATCTCCCCAGCAAAATCCCCCACGCCCCAAGGCAGTTTGATCTCTGCTGCTGGTGTTTTAAAGCCCCTTCTCTGAAGTCCCGAGTAATGAGGTAACTCTCAGGCTGTGATAGGAACAAGGCAGACGCTGAGCCAGACACTTATTATTACTGCACTCTCCAGCAATGCACCGAAGGGCTTTCTCTCAGTGCGCCAGGTCACTGAGATCATGTTGGAGGCATATGATTAATTTCCAGCCTTATTGTGTTAAGGGGCAGCAGGAGAAAAGAAAGAAAGATTATTTTTTTTTTAGAACAGAGTTAAATGAGGCAGAAGACCTTGTCACTTAGCCAGAGCTTTTGAACTCCTTGCATAAAGCAGCAGCTAAGAAGTTAATAGACATAAATAGCATTTTATTGATTTGAGGCATTCTGAGGAGTTTTAATGCAGCTGAAGGCAGGAAAAAGACTGCTCGGGGTAATTAAGCCTTAGCTAGTGAAGCCTGGAGCATTACACACACACACACAAAAAGCCACCACAAAAACAAGCCATCCTGAACATGCCAGAGAAAAGCTGTCATTTAGCTTGAAACTAAACCTTTCCTGGGACACAACGAGAACTGGGGCCCCCTCCAGATTTCAAGCCCCTGAAACAAGGAGCATCCTCCTTGGGCCCAGGTTTTAATTTGGGCATCCTTCCCCATCTACTGCAGACAGCAGCAGCTGCAGTGCCCAGTGCCGCTCCTCTACTGTGGGTCACAGACCTGCCCGCAGGGGGATTTCACAGAGTACAGCGCGCCCTGCTCGGTCACAGACGTACTTTGGGAATTCCCACAGCCCGGCGGTTTTACACAGTCATCTCGGTATCAGAGATATATTCTTAAAAAAAATTTAAAATAAAAATCTCCTGTTACTTGGCTGCCTGCTTTTCCCTTTCCTCCAGATGAAAATTACTCCAATGAGTATTGATATTAATATACATTTGCACACAAGCATGCAGTAAACGGCCCACTGAAACCAGGCCTGTGAATTCAGCCCGTTCTGTGCCCATCACGTTCCCAGCACACTCCAGGGGCTTTAGCCACAGACCGGCTCTTTGTACGTGATCAGAACACAGCGCAGCCCACACCCGGCTTTCTGCAGGGTTTTATTTGCCTGTCGGCCCCTTGCATGAGCAAGCAGTGCAGTCACTTTCAGAGGGTTTCTGGAGGTTACGCTGTGGCTGCTGGGGTCAGCATCGGCATCGCCAGCATCTGGTGTGCGCTGGTGTCAGACGTTGTGCTGTGAGGCAGGGGAATCGTGAGTGGTGGTGAATTTGGGTGGAATTTAGAGGTCAAAGCACCTGAGATGGGTTGTGTCAGCCCAAACTGTAAATCCAACTAAAAAATCCCCATTAAATTTGCTGTAACGCAGCAGTTGGTGAGCCAGCACATGCAATCACGCACCCTAGAGTGGTTTTGGTACCGTACATCCCATGAGGGAGGAACCGCCACGCTCCTCTCAGCTCTGGTGAGCAGCCATACGGCAAAGCACATGGGTTTGCTTTACAGGACAGCATCAAAGCTTCAGTGAAGGACAAAACTGCTGCAGAAAGCTTTTGCGATTTGCAGAGTAAAACCACAAACAAGCCCTGGGCAGAGCGGTGGTTTCTGACACGTGGCATCCACAGACCCTAAACCAGCACCGCCTCCCATCTGCCCAAAACGGATTACTCCATCTCGGGTTCTGCTGGTGTTATTTAACATAGAAATCACACCTGTTAATGAAGATTGTTGGGTCAAACCCAGTGCAGAGTTCATATGAATATTTTTCATAATAATTTTCCTGAGAATTCGCCCTTTACTGAATGCAGACTCTGAACAAGCCCCAGATTTCAGACAGCACAGATGCCAAGGGAGCTGCTGGGGTTTGAGATGGGAGCGTAAATTGGTGTCACTTGCACCTGGGTACCAGGGAGTGAAGAGACAAACTGCTCATGCGCAGATGTACAATTTAGCTTATCAGAGCTCACCTACGTGGAGAGGTGGGTACTAAACGAGCGAGGATGGGAATTTGATGTTCTCAGCACCTGTCTGAACTGGCACGTCTATGCTGCAACAAAAGCACTTTTCTTTGGTTTGGTTTAATTCATTGCCAAAGCGTGGTGCAAATCATCACCTGCGGGTGACAGCACCACGTGAAGCAATGCTCGCAGGGTGGATTTCTAAGCTTTAGTGTCCGACCTGGACACTCACGTTGCTGAAAAGGCTTTTGGTGCTGTTGCACTTGTCTGAGGGAGGGGCTTCCCTTTTGTTTTTTCTTTCCCCCAGTTACGGTGACATGGTGCCCAAGACCATTGCTGGGAAGATCTTTGGCTCCATTTGCTCCCTGAGCGGGGTGCTGGTCATCGCTCTGCCGGTCCCTGTCATTGTTTCCAACTTCAGCCGAATTTACCACCAGAACCAGCGTGCCGACAAGCGCAGAGCGCAGAAGGTAAGACATCCCCCACCGCCACCAAACCCGCACCCCTGCTTGTCACCATGGGCTCAGCGGCTCTGGTGACAACTTGGAGCATCGCAGAGGGCAGCCCGTGTGCACCTACACCTGTGATGTTCATCAACCCCTAAATCATTAACGGGAGCTGTTTGTCTTTCTGGCTGCTTGGTTCCTGTTCTCTCTCGAGTTTTGAAAACACCCATTAGGAAACACGCACTCACCAGTACACGTACCCCAAAAAGCTGCAGCCTCAAACACAGACAAAACGCCAGGAATACACAAAAACCCCTGGAAACGCCAGGGGATCACTGAATATTCCAAAACCTGAGCAGTTTTTCCCCAGTATAAGTTCACTGATTCACTGAGAAAGTAAACCAGGTTTATTATATCTCTATTTCAGTCCGCTAAGTTACACCAGAACAGAATCAGGGTTTTACAAGAACTGCAAGCCAAAGGTCCGGGGTTTTTTCCCTCCCTGTGGAACGCTCTCTGCCAGAAACCCAAACTCGGGGGACGGATGGAGAACAGCAGCAGAGATCTGCTATTTCTGCTGCAGGCAAGCATCTGCGCCCTGCCTGCTTCCTGCATCTCAGGGAGCTGACAGCAGAGCTGAGACCTGAGACCTACAAAACCACCACATTTGGCAGTCAAAACACATCAGGAGAGCGGTGAGAGTCACACAGCGATGGGCTGCAGGCTCCCTAAGTCACCGCTGGGTTTTACACACACCTGTGCTAGGTTTGGCATCGGACAAACAGAACATCAAACCACAGTGATTTTGGAAGTGTGCTTGAGGGGGAGTTGTTCATCTGATCAGTCATACAAGATCATATAGATAAAAAAATCTAAAGATATAATGAAAGTCCACTCGGTACCACACACTGTTCAGTCAGCAGCCAGGCAGAGGGAAACCAGTACAGATCACTACATTAATTTAATAAATTCAAATTATTTTCCTAACGTGAGGCTGCACCCAGGCATAAGGTACCTGGGTTTAACTTGCACTGGGTGTTGGTGCATGGGAAGGATGAGAGGGCTCATGTAGAGGTTTGTGAAGGGGCGAGCGTGCAACAGCTCATTTAAATAATTGAAGACATAGAGAAAGCACTTGTTCTGCTGAAATGGCACAAAAACACAGCGAGAGGCAGAACCTGCTTTATGGTACGGCCCAGGCAGCCAATAAATAGGCAAGAGAAATAAAGAAACCAGGTTTGTGCATGGCCATGGATCCCAATGCAGAGAAGCCCCAGCACCTTCTCCCCAGGCACCGCACCAAGGTTTCTGGCTCTGATTCACCTTTCCCTGTATCTGTTGGACTCTGATCCCCTTGGTGACAAGGAAACATGCCACCACCTTCAAAGCCAATGTGACTGACTGCAGCTTTTATAAGCTTTGCTGTATTGACACACAGAGTGTATAATTTTTCCCCATTTGAATTTCTAATTCCCTTGATACTGGATGAATTTCTGGGCTAAGAAAGTTTTCTCAAGTCAGAAGCGTGAGTAATTTTCACATGATCATCACTGCATGAATACTAAAGAGAAGGAGAGAGACAGCAGCACGTTAATGTCGCTCTCTGGAGATGGCCAGAGCGAACACCGAGAAGTGAAGAACTGGCTTCGATAGCGCATTTCTTCCAGCATCATCCTCCTGTGAATTGAATCCCTTCCTCAGAGGCAGGAAACTTTTAGGATTAGTTAAAACTCTGTCCACTTCCAATTAAAGATACAAAGACATCCACATGGCGTTTTCCAGAAGGTTGGCAGAGCTCTCTGCTTTCCCTCAGCCCTTGGATACCAAGAGCCCAGCAGCAGCAGCTCCTTATGAGCAGAGTCTGGAGAATAAAGCTTTGAAGAAATAACGCAGACATCTTCCCCAAGTTTCTAGTCTGCTAAATAGATTATTTTTCTCTTTTAATTGAAGAGTAAACAATTTGCAGGGTATGTATTAGTATAAACGCTTTAAAAGAAGTTCTATTTAGCTCAAGAATCATAACTTTTATAATAACCAAGTAGGTTTCAAGACTAGGCTATAGACCATATTAATTTATTTATTATTAACTCAGGCTGAAGTTTTCCAGTGAGAAACAATAAAGTCAAAAGCACTGTACAAGCATCAAATGGGAGGATGTGACATCCACGGATTCAAAGGTTGGGCTGTGGTAGACCTGGGCTCTCCAGTGCTGGGGGTTTGAGAGGCTGCACTCCAAAAAACCAGGAAAATACAGCACAGCCCCAATGTCCCCCTGGGTGCTCAGTCTTCACTTTGCCTCTTAACTGTTGAAGAGGCATTGGTCTAACAGGAACAGGTATTTAAATAGCATTAATTAAAGACCGGGAGGTGGCTGTTACTCATCAGCATCTATTCTTCAACTAACTGAGGAGAAACGTTCCTTAAAAAGGAAAAAGAAACAAAACCAACCAAAAGCCACCAACCCAAAAGCTACCAGTGATTTAATCACCTTGGGGATAAATTATTCTTTGCCAAACCTGCTCTGCAAGAGAATTAATTGCAAGGAGATCTGGCAGTCTTAATTTATTGTGCTGCGTCATCAAATTTTGTCCTCTGGCACGCAGCAAGGACCAGGTCAATCTGAATAGAAGACGAATTGATCATTTCTGACAAGGTTCATTTTGGTAAAATAGGGGACTTGTTTCCCCCCAAAGACTTTTTTTTTTCTTTTTGACTGATGTGCCAAGAATAGACTTCCTGACTTTGAAATGATGCTGTTCTTCAGGGAATGTCACAGCCTTTGGTTTTAAAAGAGACTGACACATTAAAGGCTCGACAACAGCATGACTTTGTGATTGGGAGATCGCTGGCGTCTCTCGCTGTGTTCAGTGTGCAGCATGGATGCGATGTGAAGAAGGAGGAGATGCAGGGTCTGGTGCTGGTTTGAGGAACACAGCTCCCACTTGGCAACCCTTGAAAGAAAAAGCAGAGGCAGCCGCTGACAGCTCCCGCACCGCTGCTGCGTTTTCCTAGAAAGAGTAAATCAGCTCCCTGTTTAGAGT